TGGGTGCTCCCATGTTGGGTGCATACTTAAAATTGTTACATTTTCTTGTTAGATTTTCCATTTATTATTACATAGTGTCCTTTTTTCTCTCCTGTTAACAGTCTTTGTTTTAAAGTTTATTTCGTCCAGTAGAAGTATTGCTACCCTGGCTTTCTTTTCACTTCCATTTGCATGATACATGTTTTTCTACCCCTTCACTTTCTTTCTTTTTTTTTTTTTTTAGTGTTCCATGATTCATTGTTTGCGTATAACACCCAGTGCTCCATGCAGAACGTGCCCTCCTTAATACCTATCACCAGGCTAACCCATCCCCCCACCCCCTCCTCTCTAGAACCCTCAGTTTGTTTTTCAGAGTCCATAGTCTCTCATGGTTCGTCTCCCCCTCTGATTTCCCCCCCTTCATTCTTCCCCTCCTGCTATCTTCTTCTTCTTCTTTTTTTTTAACATATAATGTATTATTTGTTTCAGAGGTACACGTCTGTGATTCAACAGTCTTACACAATTCACAGCGCTCACCATAGCACATACCCTTCCCAATGTCTATCACCCACCCCATCTCTCCCAACTCCCACTACTCTAGCAACCCTCAGTTTGTTTCCTGAGATTAAGAATTCCTCATATACCCCTTCACTTTCAATCTGTATGTGTCTTTAGGTCTGAAATGAGTCTCTTGCAGGCAGCACAGAGATGGGTCTTGCTTTGCCATCCATTCTGTCATCCTCTGCCTTTTGATTGGAGCATCTAGTCCATTTACATTCAGAGTAATTGTTGATTGATATGTACTTATTGCCATTTTATTACTTGTTTAATGGTTTTTGTAGTTCTTCTCTGCTCCTTTCTTCTCTTGCTTTCTTCTCTCATGGTTTGCTGGTTTTCTTTAGTGATATACTTGGATTCCGTTCTACTTTTTTGCGTATCTATTACTGGTTTTTCATTTGTGGTCACCATTAGGTTTGTATATAACAACTTCTGCATATAGCAGTCTATATTAACTTGTTGGTCCCTTAAGTTTGGGTCCATTCTTTACTCTTCTCCCCCTCACATTTTAGGCATATGTTGTCATACTTTACATCCTCTTATTTTGTTAATACCTTAATTGACTTTTACAGATATACTTATTTTTACTGCTTTTGTGTTTCCTACATTTGTTACTCCTCTCTATGGTCTTTCCTTTTTACTCAAAGAATCCCTTTTAACATTTCTTGTAGGGCTGGTTTGGTGGTCATGAATTTTTTTTTTTGACATTAAGAGGATGTGTATTTATTTACAAAACACATAGTAGGAAAAAAGATCTAAGTCACTAGATGTAAGGACATAGGTTCTTTTTTTTTTATTGCTGTTTTTTTTTATTCTGAAATATAGTTGATGTAATATTATGTTAGTTTCATGTGTACAACATAGGGATTCAACAGTTATATACATAAAAAATGCTCACCATGATCAATGTAGGCACCATCTGTCACCATACATTATTACAGTATTATTGACTATATTCCCTTATGCTCTGCCTTTCATCACCATGATTTATTTACTTTATAACTGGAAGTTTGTGCCTCTTAATTCCCTTTAGTGGTCATGAATTTAACTTTTTTTTTTTGGTCTGGGAAGCTCTTTATTTTTCTTTCTATTCTGAATGATAGCCTTGCTGCATAGAGTATTCTTGGCTGCACATTTCTTTCTTTGAATATATCATGCCACTCCTTTCTGGCTTGCAAAATTTCTGCTAAAAAACAACAAAAAAACAAACAACGCTGAATGCCTTATGGGGTTTCCCTTGTATGTAACTGTTTTCTTTTGCTGCTTTAAAAATTCTCTATCACTACTTTTTGCCATTTTATTTGCTGTGTCTTGGTGTGGACCTCCTTGGGTTGACTTTGTTGGGGGATCTCTGTGCATCCTGGATCTGGATTTCTGTTTCCTTTCCCAGATTCAGGAAGTTTTCAGCTATTATTTCTTGAAACAAATTTTCTGCCCCTTTTTCTCTCTCTTCTCCTTCTGGGATCCCTATAATGAGAATGTTATTATACTTGATGGTATCACTGAGGTCCCTTAGTCTATTTTCATTTTTTATTATTTCTTTTCTCTTTCCTCTTCAGCTTGATTATTTTCCATTACTCTGTCATCCATGTCACCAATCTGTTCTGCTTCCTTTAGCCTACTATTTATTCCTTCTAGTGTATTTTTAATTTCATTTACTGAGTTCTTCATCTCTGACTTGTTCTTTTTTATATTTTCTATCTCTTTGTTAAGAGTGTTAAGAGTCTCACTGAGGTCCTCCACTCTTTCTTCAAGTCCAGTGACTATCTTTATGATCATTACTTTAAATTCTCTATCAGGCATATTACTGATCTCTGTTCTGTATAGCTCTTTTGCTGTGATTTTGTCCTGTTGTTTCACTCAGGACTTACTCCTCTGTCTCCTCATTTTGTCTAACTCTGTGCCTGTTTCTAAATGCCAGAAAAGTCAGTTACATCTTCTGCTCTTGACAGTAGTGGTCTTAAAAAGAAGAGGTCCTGTGGTGTCCTGCAGTGCAATATCCTCTGTTTACCAGAACCTGATGCTTCAGGGGTATCTCCTATGTGTGTTGCATGCACACTTCTGTTGTGGCTGAGCCGCTTTTGTCTTCAGTCCAGTTCTCTGCAATGGCTCTCTTTGCTTGTTGTGGGCAGGGTTTGGTCCCTGTGGTGTTAGTGGGTCAGTCTAGGGCCACGTTGGGCTTAAGTTGAGTCTTATCAAGTGTCTGTCAGATTTGCAGTAGCACCTAACTTCAGGACACAGTGAAAGTGGGGAGCAAGGTGTCAGCAAGGTCCACTTAGGCAGGAGGGGACCTGTAGCTCCTGGGGACTGAAGCAGGCAGGGTTGGAGGGGGTGTATGCACAGAAGCATGCATGGGCAGGATGCTCAGTGTTAGCAAGGTTTGCATGGATCTACTGTGGAAGGGAATGGGAGCTGAGGCCTGGCTGGAAGGAGTGTGTCCACAGAATGCTAGGGCTGGGCTTGCTCTTATCAGGTTAGGTAGCGAGTATTGTGTAATGCAGGCTCCCAAAGGTGTCATGTGTCTAGGTTTTGGGTTGGGGGAGTGAAATGGTGCTCACCAGTTCCTTTGTTCCTGAAGAAATCTCCCAAGGATCCCTGCACCTTCCAGCATATGCTCTGATATTAGTAAACAAATCTCCCTCCCATACACTGCAGGAGTTTTTCAAACTGCTGCTTCTATGCTGTATCTCAATAGGGCTTTTGGTTTTGCTGTCTCTTTAAGGGTGGGGATTCAATTTCCTCTCTGTTTGCCCTACTGGCTCTTGCAGGACCCTGCTGATTTTTAATGTTCCAGGGTTTAAGCCCTGCTGATTTTAAGACCTCTTGAAATTTGGCCCCTCTGGTTTTCAAAGCCAGATCTTATGGGGATTCATCTTTCCCATGTAGGATCTTTGGTGTGAGAATCTGTTTCTCTCCCCTTTCCATGCTATGCCAGTGGAGTCTCGCCCTCCCATGGATGGTCCCATGGGTCTCCTTAGCTCCCAACTGTGTTTCCACACTTCCTACTCTCTTCAGTGTGGCCTCTTCTCCTCTCTACATTTAGTTATCAAGAGTCTGTCCTGCCAATCTTTGGGTCATTTTCTGACTTATTTACACTGATGTGGCTGTTATCTAGTTGTTTCCATGGGACCAGATGAGCTTAGGGTCCTCCTACTCTGCCATCTTCCCCGGAAGCCGTTGGTCTTCACCTGTTTTTGCTTTTCATTGAAACTGAACAATTCTCTTTACCAATTTGTCTAGCACAATATGTCATATTAAATAAACAACTAAAAACGTGGTATCTGTTCACAGAATATACAGGATCTTGCCTAATAAAGTAATGGCAAAGAACTTCTTTAATCAGAATTCTCCTTCAAGAGTAATCAGACTTCTTTAGAGAGTGTGGTGGTTAATTTGATGTGTCAGCTTGGCTAGGTATGGCAACCAGTTTTGGGTTAAACATCGATGTATAGTTACGAAAATATTTTTAAGATGTGATTCACATTTAAATCAGTAGACTTTGAGGAAAGCACATTACCCTCCATAATGTGGATGGGCCTCATCCAAGCAGTTGAGGGTCTTAAGAAAAAAAGACTGTGGTTACTCTAATAGGAAGAAATTCTGGAATTCTGTCTCTAGAATGCTTTCAGACTCAAGATTGTTAACATTAACTCCTTTTAGGACTTTCCAGCCCACTATGGGCCAATTCCCTAATCTCTCTCAGTCTCTCTGTACACACACACACACACACACACACACACACACGTACATCCTATTGGTTCTGTTTTCTGGAGAACACTGACTAATACAGAGAGAAAGGAGAAAACTGAGGCAGAGGAACCAAGAGATTTGTGAGATACTCTTCTATGCTCACTCACTCATGATTGCAAATCTCCATTCTGAAAGCAAAAGTTTATGCAACGGAAGCTCCTGGCTTCCTACTTAAACTCAATAGTTCCCTATAACCAAACTCTTCACCCTTCTTTCTTGAAACAGGTTCCTGCTATCTTCCCTTCTCTTGTACTTCCACAGTCCTAAATCTCATCCAAAAGAGAAGGTACTAAGGTATTCACAATAATTTGATACATCATCCAGAGTCATAAAAATAAAATTCAGGGTGGCGCCTGGGTGGTTCAGTCGTTAAGCGTCTGCCTTCGGCTCAGGTCATGATCCCAGGGTCCTGGGATCGAGCCCCGCATCGGGCTCCCTGCTCGGCAGGAAGCCTGCTTCTCCCTCTGCCACTCCCCCTGCTTGTGTTCCCTCTCTCGCTGTGTCTCTCTCTTCAAATAAATAAACAAAATCTTTACAAAAAAAATAAAATTCAGAAATTCAATATAATATTAAAGTAAACTATTATTTTCTTTTTCTTTTATGCTTGAAAATAAAAACTGAGCTAATAATTGGGTCCTTGAGATATACTAATAAGTACTTTATAAACCTATTCTGAGAATAAATTTTTATATTAAAGGAAAGTAATTTCTCACCATTTATGAGTCTCTGTCAGTGAGTTTTCCTCTGCCTCTTGATCAATTTTAGCTGAAAATACAAGAAAAGAAAAAGAAATAAGATACATGATAGTTATACTATCTTAAGCAAAATATGATCCAAATAATATGAAATATATTTTTATTCATTATTAACTCTAATGCATTCCAGAAAGAGTTTATTTTAAATCTATAAATAAATATGATTAAATAGATTATATTTAATTTTCATTAAGTTAATGATAGGTACCAACACACATAAGATATATAACGAATTACAAATTTAAAATTCTAAGTAATTTTTTTTCTAAGTAATTTCTTTAAGTCAGTCACATTAACCTGAGAAAACAAAACAGTAGTTAATTTCATATTCACAGTAAATGTGTTTGTCAAGGATTTAAATGCTAATAACTAGTTAAAAATAATTCTCTCAAGCAAAGGTACAGAAACTAAGTCAAGAAACTAAATAGAAATGGTATGTGACCTTGACCAGTGCTCTCTGCACCAGACTACAAATGAATAGATCCAACGGTTATTTCTACAGAGGTACAAGACACTAACATTTTCTACTAATTAAAAGTAGGGAGGCAATAGTATACTCATTTATTTGCTATCATATTTATTTATTTATTTATGTTATATTAATCACCATACATTACATCATTAGTTTTTGATGTAGTGTTCCATGATTCATTGTTTGTGTATAACACCCAATGCTCCATGCAGAACGTGCCCTCTTTAATACCCATCACCAGGCTAACCCATCCCCCCATCCCCCTCCCCTCTAGAACCCTCAGTTTGTTTCTCAGAGTCCATAGTCTCTCATGGTTCATCTCCCCCTCCGATTCCCCCCATCTTCATTTTTCCCTTCCTGCTATCTTCTTCTTCTTTTTTTTTAACATATAATGTATTATTTGTTTCAGAGGCACAGGTCTATGATTCAAAAGTCTTACACAATTCACAGCGCTCACCATAGCACATACCCTCACCAATGTCTACCACCCAGACGCCCCATCCCTCCCACCCCCCACCACTCCAGCAACCCTTCAGTTTGTTTCCTGAGATTAAGAATTCCTCATATCAGTAAGATCATATGATACTTGTCTTTCTCTGATTGACTTACTTCGCTCAGCATAATACCTTCCAGTTCCATCCACGTCGTTTTTGTTTAAAAATAAATGATTTAAAATAACATAAGAACTCCATCACATAAAATAGGTGTGGCAGTGACTTTTACATTTTTTGACCAGCAAGCATTCTAGGAATTTATGTATTACTCTAAACACACACATACACACACACATAACGGACACAAAAGTTTCAAAAATACTCTTACTTCACGCAATGCTCTCTCATATTTTTAGTCCATTCTATTAGATTTCAAAGTGTAGTTGTGACCCACTAAATTGATTTCATGCTTCACCACTGGTTTGTCACACACACTTTGAAAATCACTGAGCGACAGGACAAAAAGTTAAAAAAAACTCAATTAAAGAAAACCTAGAACTCGTAAAAGAAGAAGTTGCCTTTTTATAATCACTCTCTTTTAGGTCACACTTGTGACCATTTGGAGAAATGAAGAGACAAAGTGGAGAAGGGCAAGTTGATTATAAAAAATTGGAACTGTGCATGAAATCAAACCCATGGTCATTTGAGAATTGTCAAAGTGTCTCTATCACTACTTAAAACACAATAGTCCAGCTTGGGCTGGTTAATGTTTTACAACCTCAAGATAGTGTTTGTTCAAAGGTCCGTACAGTATCTGCAAAGCCATAATCGAGGGTCACACTGCCACTCTTGGCCAGGACTGTTGACTTTAGCAGGGATCATTTGAGCTGGGAGCAGAGAGTGCTGTTTTACCCTTTCCATTTTTGTACTTTAGATTGTTCACAAGAACTTACAGGTCATTTGTTAGCCATATTAAAAAACAGAATAAATGCTCCATGATTTTACTTTGGAAAGGCTCCAACATGAACATATTGTCTTACAAAATCTGCTCTGGGTTGCCTGGCTTGATAATGGTTTGCTTCAAGAAGCAATTCTAGAACCATACAAAGCGTGTTTAAGAGAAAACAACAAAGCACCACAATGCATGCCATTTTCAGGAAGGACATTCTTCCAATTGGCCTCACGTGTATATTTTTGTCCTTTTTTAAAATACAGAGATTAAGACTGAGATTGGAAGAAAATTTCTGGATTACGTTAGAAGAATCAAGTAAATGATTTATGAAATTTAAAATGTGCTAGAATGAGATGCTAGAGATCTGTGTTCTGTTCCTAATTCTGCCACTAAAATTAGCTATGTAATTTTAGGCAAATAATCTGTTAACATGTATAAACTATTTAGCATAGTGCCTCCAATAATTAGCAGAGACTAAATAAATGTTCTTTGAAAATGTTGGACTTTAAGCTCTTAAAACTTATAAAGTGATATAATATATAATTATCTTTAATTGAATACATCAACTGCTATTTTATTATGTTTCAACTTATATGCAGATAAAGAAAGCACATACTTAAAGCTTCTCAAAAAGTGGAAGCCCCTAAACTGTGGTGAGTGGAATGAAGTGAGTTTCATATGTTCATAATGATTCCTTTTGATGTGTACTAAAACAGCTTTTGCTTCACTGCATGAGCAAGTTTGGCTGAAAAAAACATTCTAATCCAATGTGGCAAAAGATTGGATCTTACCAAGGGAACTAAACATAAAAACAGACCCTCTTCCCCAACCTAATAGCCATATTACAATCATAAAACCAAACTGGGATAGCAGAGAATACTTAAAAATGCTCTATTATCCATTATTTTTACATGATTTTGAAGCTAAGAGGATTTGTGTATTCAGAATGTAATCAGCTTTGATAAACAGTCAAATGAGAGATCAAAGCAAGTGCATTAGAGTACACATTTCAACTCTTGATGTAGAGTCAACAATTCAATGAACTAGACAGATTTTCCTTTGTATGGCAATCTTAGAAACAAAAACTTTCTGAAAAGTTGGGGTGCAATTCAGTTTTCTGGGAACACTGAAATACCATTTTCCAACATGCTGCTTGTATAAACACTCCATCAACATTTTGCTGTCATGATTCTTTTAAACACACTTATTATGTTAACTTAGTGACAAATGCAGGATTTGGTTTCTTTAGTTAATGAGGATGAAATCTATCAAATTAAAATAAAATGTAATTAAGTTAGTGAAAAGTAAGATATCTTTTAGAAACAAAATAAGAATAACACTGCCACTCCTTTAGGGAGTATTCAAGCTAGTCACATGTAGAGACCAAAATCTTAGACTGTATTTTTTAGTCTGAGTAAAGGCTTCTGAAAGGCTGTGGCCATGTGTGTTATACACACAGCTTTTCAAGTAAAAGCTGAAGGTGACATAGCAATAATATTATTTTCTATAAACCATGTCAACATCGTATTGCTAATTCTTTTATTCCCTGACCTACTTTTTCAAAAATATAAATATTGTTCTCAGGTCATTTCTAATGGCACAGAGGACTTTGTGACTAGTTCTGAATGTTGGTTTTACTTTTAGCAGCAGTTTCCTGTCAATAAACTATTATAATAAAGTACGCAAAATTTGCTAGATAAGACATATAAAAGGTTCCACTTTTCTATTTAAAGTAAGATGAATTTTCCCATTCCTTATAGTACATAGCTCATTTCTTTTTTTGACCTATCAAATGAGGATGGCGGACTTCTAGTCGTTCATGATAACGGTAACTACAGAAAAGTTTTAAAAAGCATTTAAAATAGACAAATAGGTCCGAGGTGTGGTGTGGAGTGATCTTCATGTTATCATCCGATCATCCGAGGCTCCCTGCCCCCGGCTGCCCAGGGAGCCTGGACTACCTCCGACAGAGAAATTGCTGTGACTCCTAATGGACACCACTGTCCGAGGGCCTCCCCGGCCTCAGATCTCTGGGAACTGCTTCTGCCGCATCACATATGAGAAAGCTACACTTCCTTGGCAAGGTTCTTACCACTCAAACTCTTGTTTTCAGATCCCATCAGGGTCAGTGTTTGGGATTAGAACATGAAACTCAGTTAGGCAGAGCTATGTATAAATTCTAGATCAGCCACGAAGTTGTGTTAGATTTATATAACCTTACTAATCACGTTGATTTAATAACTTTTCTTTATCATTAAAACAGGGTAATAATTTCTTTTTCATTGAGTTTCCTAATAAGGTATAGCATAGGTAATAATATATATAGGTAATAATATATAGGTAATAATAACTGTTCTTTCTTTTCCTCTCCACATCACCATGACTATAAAAAGGGACTGGGATATTTTACTTTCAAAAATGCAAAAATTTCTCCATTGTAGGATCACCAAATACTTCTTCTTAATGCTTCTACAGATAGAACCCAGATTCAGAATGAGACTTATATATTGTTAAAATAAGAGTACCTCCTTATAACAACATAAAGAAGTTCTGGGCCAAGAAATATCATAGGAGACTCAAAACCTTTCACAAAAATCAAGGGATAACTCTGTATTTAATATCTTTTGTTTTTTATTTCTACTTAATCTGTGTGTGTGTTGTGGTTTTCATAGCCCCATAACAGAGAACTCCCAAGCAGAGGCTAACAGTTTTTCAGTCCTATCTTTGGAGGCACAGCACTAAATGAAATTGCTGTATGGAAGAGGACAATACCTTTTGTAGATTTAGGGAGAAACTACAGAAATCCAAAAGATAAGATGATATTTTCAAAGGCTGCAATGTTCCTCTAGAGCATACATTTCTTACTCCATATCTACCATGGGTAACTATTCCTATCTTGATATCTGAGCTCCACTGCCAAGAAAATGTTCTGAGACTGGATATACTGAAAACAGAGTTTGAAGTGCAAAGAGAATTGAAATGGTGAAATAACGCAATCAATCCTGTCCTGATATTAGAGGGAAGAAAAGTGCAATGTAGTGAAAATAACGAGTGGTTTGTACTGACAAATAATCTCCAGAGAATATTAGGAACTCACACTAACAGACCTAAAATCTAAATGTGTGGAAATAAATGGACCTTACAGAATTAACTGCTAC